GTGGGTGGATACAGAAATATTTCATTACTAAAATCATGAGGACTTAGGTGGCAAAATCCACACTAGACAGAGAGAGTGAGGTAAAGGAAAACTGCTAGGTTTTGTCTTAGAGAACTAGACAGGTGATCGGTCAACAGATAGTTAACCACCCTCAGGCAGCCTATTCCAAGACCCCAATATCTTACAAGCAGAATGTGCCCTGCATGACAAATAAGACACCAAGGAACGTGCTCTGTAAGACCTGAAAGATGTGTGGAAGAAGTGAATGAATTCACACACACACACACACACACATCCTCTAACAGTAAATGGCCAAATAAATAAAGATTGGATGTTTATTTGGGAAGGAGGCAGAGCAACTAAAAAAAAATAGTTAGGTGCTTATGGCAAAGGAGGTGTTCCTAATAACTCTATGCAAATATTTATAATCCTTTAAGGATTCTTGCAAAATCTCTGTATAAATTGAGAACTTTATGAAAAAGGACATTGGGTTTTTAGAGTCCAAAAAAATAAACTCTTAATATACAACCTGGACTTTCACAATGGATTTCACTTTAAATATACAGAATAGCTCTTATTACTTGGCAAAGTTCTTTTACATTTGCTGCCTCTTTTTCTGCCAACAATTTAATGAGATGTGCAAAAGTGACTATACCAGTAGCAGCACGTCACATTTGTATAGTTCTCTGTGGATTTCGAACATGCCTTCCCATAGGTCTTCCTTTTCAAATCTTTAAAAAACATGGCAGGAAAATATTAGCCATCTTTACTATTTTTTTCAACAATTAAGCTCGAGGCCAGTGGTGGGTGATGGGATAGAAGCATACATAGCTGCTATCTTGGCCCAACAGGAATTGCAGTAACAACAGTAATAACAAAAGTAACAGTAACAGCTGCCATGGGTTGAGGACTGAATATACAGGGGTGGGCAAAAGTGGGTTTACATTTTTTCATATGGAAACTAGTACAATAATTAATGAATGATCATACAAGAATAAATTGTGTTTCATATAATTACAACTGTAAACCTACTTTTGCAGGTCAGCTATTCCCCTAAGTGCTTTAGGACTAAGGATGTTCTGAACACATTTCTTGGTGAAATTTTTCACGAAGGGCACATCCTGTCTGGTGGCCCAAGAGTTGTTAATAACCATCTATTGACCAATCACATCTGTTTTTTCTGTCCATAAACAAACACCTTGTCAGATTTCCTTGAATCTCACTCTTTACCCTCCAATCCAATACAAATTTTGCCACCCAAATCCAATTGACTTGAAAACTAAATATCTCTATATTCATGTCTCTTATTTATTTTGTCAACGTACAGCCCTTTCAGGTCATTGTTGTCCTTATCCCTATTTTATAGAAGATGAAACTGAGGTTCAGGATTTTAATAACTTGTCCAAGTCTACGTGGCCAGTAAGGGGTGCAGTTTGGATTTGGACATAAATTTATTCAGAGCCCAAATCTGTCTCCAGAGCCCAAGTTCTTACTAATAATAGCTACCATTAGTTGAGGACTTACTTACTAAATTCCAGACACTGTACTCTAGGTTTTGTCTATGTTAACTCATTCAGTCTTCCCAGGTCCATAGCCCTATGCATTAGGTGCTCTTCTTATCCCACTTCTACAATTGAGGAACCAGAGACTCAGAGGTTATGCTACTTGCTCAAGGTCACACAGCTCATGAGTGAGCTGTCCCAGGCAATTTGATTCCAGATTCCAAGCCATTACTTGATATGTTAAACTACTCCTCAAAATTGGAGTTCAGAAAAGCTAAAGGATTTGTCAAGGACTACAGGTCAGCTAGGTATAAGTCCAGGGCTGGAACCAACTCCTCACATTAGATAATATTTGAGGCACTTGGTGGTCTTAATCATTACAGGCCAGCTATAGTCTCAGCTCTGGCATCACCCTCTGTACAAGTCCCTTCCACTCCATCTAGTGATTTCACTTCATCAGTTCCCCAGTGCTGGCTCTGCAACACTTCCATGCCTACCGTTGCTCTAGGGGGGCACAGATCCTCCACCTCCCCACCTCCATCTCGTATCCAGTCCCTAAGCCCATCTACTGTCTGGGGAAGTTCAGGCAGACTGATTACTGCACAGTCTGGGCTGCTAATAACCAAGGGAACCCCCCAAGTCCACCCAGTGCCATTGTGACTTCCTACCTTTTGAAACCAGACATTTCAAACTAATAGAAGTCCCAGACAAATCCCGCCCATCCCCCTCACTGATAAATTATACTCTATTGGCTGCAATGCATCTCTTCCAGATGTTTTAAGTTAAGATTGGGAAAGTTGTGTTTTTACTGGATTGAAGCACAGCGCTTGGCTGACATTTTTTGGCCCTTCATACACTCCTTAGATTTATCAGCTAATTGCAGACACTTTGAGAGAAGAATACAGCGTGTGTTTATTATGACAAACCCTGCTCAGTGTGCCTTTGTGGCCAAAGATTCTCGGGCGTTTCCTTTACTGACCCCTGGTTAAGTATTAGAGTTGATTCAAAAAGATTGGTTCAAAGTCAAGAACTTACATGGATGAAAATATTTCATTTATGTGTTTTGGTGGAGTTGGGGATGGGGACAGAATAGCTCCAATAGCTCAACTTTTATTCTTAAACTGTTTTTGAAATCTTTTGTTGTGGATGATAGAACGATTTATTAAGGGATGCCAAATGCCTTAGGAATTTTGTTTAAAACATCAAAAAATAGCTTCATGGTTGTTCTAATGCCACTATTTAATAAGTTACTCCATATGGGTGAATTCTGTTTCTTCCAATGTGGCCTGTTTGAAGCCTGGCCTGAGGAAATGTTAAATGGGGTGGTTACCTCCCTCAGTCATGGCAACCACTGCCTGAGCTGGCCCTTCAGGTGGGAAGAGCCCAGTGACAGCAAACTTGGGGGGAGGGGGTGAACAGTCATCACAGTTGAAGTCAGACAGTTGTCACCTGGTATATGAATCATTGTGCATCAAGACCTTGGTAAGCTACAATCAATCCTAGGACATGGCTGCCTACATAAGAGACCTGAAGGACTGGACCAACCCTAGGGAAGGGGAGGAGGGAGAAGCCAGAGGGAGGGGAAGATGGATGCCCAGGATCTGTGCTTGGGGTCCCTGATCCTGAGTCAGAATGACAGGTGGCTAGCTAAGCCAGAGGTCAAGGAAAGAAGGCAAAAGCTGACAGAAAGACACACATTGCTTCCTGCTGTGAAATCAGGGGGGACCTGAAAACAAATAGCAGGATCGAAGTATGAAAATGCCTTTAAATTGTGTAAGAGTGGGAAGGACTGTCAGGGAAATCTGAATTTTAGAACTGTCAAAAAAAGAAATACTGCCTTTTATGACTTTCAGGTATATAGAGTTACAATGCATGGTTGTGAGGGAACTTGTTTCAATGACTACATTTTAATGTCTTGTCATCTACACATTAGATAAAGATTTTCTGAAGTATGTTCATTTCCTTTCACAATGCTTCTCTTTGAGGACACCCCGATTTCTCTCTGGAATGGGTAAATATTATCTCTTCTGAGAAGCTGGCTTGTTTTTATTCTACAGATTGAGACTCTCATAAATATTGCCTGTCCTCATTTGCTACTAGAAAGCTTAGAACTGAATCCATGAGCCCCTCCTAACAAGAAAATAAACTCCTCACAGTATATTTTTTATATGATGTTCACACTCCTTATTTTAGCTTCCCTTATTTTTCCTTTAATCTATTTCCTCCCCTTTTGTAATTTATTATATCTTTTATTCTATTGTAACTCATGGTATATGTATTACTTAAGCTTGAACAAAGTAGCATATATAGATAAATACATCAACACAAGTGTTTCCCAATGCAAAATGATGATTTTTCTTTTACTGACATTAAGTTTTATAATTTCACTATCAATTCCTCTAACAAATGCCCCTTTCATAAATAGAAAAACGGTTTCCTTCAGCTCGCTGCACCTTCTCAATTTCAAAATTAAGGCCCAAATAAAGGTACTGCATTTACTTGGTGAATTGTCCTATACTTACTTCAAATGCATGGTTGAAATTTCATAATCAAAATTAAATAAGAGACAGGATTTACAAATGGTGGAGAGAAGCTTACACCCTACCAGTTAGAAACTCTGCTTTGGCCAGAAGAAGCCTTCTTTATTGAGTCCCTAAGAAGTTATAGGGTTCCCCCACACACTCCACCCAACCCTACAAGACTCACTTGGGGAAGACTACGTTTCCACTTAAGTAAGGCATGGAGGGTCCCCCTGAAGAGTGAGCACAACAACGCAGCTTTCAAAACCCTCCCCCACAACTTCTTTCCAGACTCTTCTAACAAAAAGTGAACAGAGTACAGTAACCTGAAAACCATCCTCTAGAGGGTGGGCCTTCTCCATCCTCCTCTCTGGCTTTATCTGGCATCCCTCTTTTTTTTCTACTTTTCAAGCTCTTTTTGTTCCAGCTAAGAAGATTTATGCATTTCTACTTTCTCACCTTTGCTCATGCCATTCCCTGTCTGGAGCCCAGTCTTCCTCTAACTCACTACACTCCACCTGACAGAGTCCTACCCTCAGCACCCACCTGTTTGGTGAAGTCTGTCCCAATATACCAGACCTCAGTGGCCTCCACCATGCACTTCATGGCCTTCTCTCTGCTCCTTCGCTCTGGTACCTACTGCATATGATCGGCCATTGTTATTTATCTCTTCAGATATAAGTCCTTTTTCCCCAACGAGAGGTTAAAACTCCCCATAGCTAGGTATGGCATATCATAGACTCAATAAATATCTGCCGAAAGAACAAAGGGATGAGTAATTCTTATGGCTTTGGGGACACCCAGCAGCATCTAATACAATGCTGGCTCATTGAATGTTTGACATTAAGGACACTAGTAAAGTACTCCCCACCCACTGCAGCATAATGTCTTTGAATGTTCCTATCTTGGTCACTAAAAGCAAACCTTTATTTTGACAAAATAAGCTGTGCTTTTTTGACTTTATTTCCTTTCCTTTTAGATTTTGAAGAAGTCCTGCATTGAAATTCTAGCAGCAGAACCATCCACCATATGTGCAGGAGGTAGGTTGAAATTAAGTGCTAATTGCTCTCATACAATTAGTTTGAGATAATTTGAGCTCAAATCACATGTTGACTTCATTGGTGGGAAAGAGGGGGAGTTAAGGCAGGAAGTGGCAAGGGTGGAGAGGGGAGTAGAAATTGCTAAGTACATTTGCTGTTGGGCGGGGGTGGGGAGAAAGAAGCAACATGTCAGCTGTTTGAAACTTTGAAAACGCCCATCCAAACTCTTTTCATGGGATTAATTGTGCGAGTGTTGCAGAAATACTGGATTCCCACGCACGACCACCACCACCTACTATGGTGGAGTGGAGTCTAACCCTTCACACTCACGGCAGTCCCGCAGGCACCAGATGCTCACAGTGCTCGCAGGCCCCCCTTGGAGGGTATTGATACACTTAACCACTTAATTGGTGCTGGCCTCTCTCCATAATTAATATATTGATCTTAATTAATTGCTCAATCTACCAGTCCTCACAAAATAGTCTTTGTCAATTCCAATTGTCCTAGTAAAGTGCCATTATAATTTGTCCACTGTAGAGGAAGTCTCTACTTATACGAAGAATCACCCTTTTCCGGCAGTATTTTCTCTAACTGATCCCAGTCAAGGGTCTTGTTATTGTTTTGTATTGTAACAGACTGCCTGAAACTCCAGCCCTCTGGCTCTTTTCTATAATTCCTATCAGCTTTCCCATCACTCTTGTTCATTTAAAAAATATTGTTAAGCACCTACTGAATGCCAGGCACTGTCCTGGGTGCTGGAGCTACAAAAAGATAAACTCTCTCTGTGCCTGTGCTTTGGGAATTTGAGTCTGTCACCACTGAGAGGTTGCTGTTAACATCACCTTTCTAGTCTCCAAAACACCAAGTGCCAGTTATTGATTTATCACAGAAAATATATTATACAATCTTACAAGCATTGGAGAAGAACTTGCAGGCTTTTTCAAACACTGTACATGTTTATATCTTAGGGCAAATATTATTGGTATAAATGAAGCAATTCCTTAAAGATTCCATCTAGTTTGTTGGCTGTATTTTAGAATAGCTGAAAGATTTTCAAGGAATTAGAGGCACTGAATAATATTTGCCACCAATGAAACATTAAGTATATATGTAAATATATAAAGTTGTAATATTTGGTGACTATTCACAGATATGTATACACTTCCTAAGGAAAAACAATCAACAAAGATTATCTCCTGACTTCTAAATAAATTGCTACCTAGTAAGACAGATGGCAGGGACAGTTGCTGTTGCCATGGAACAGATCAAGGAGAAGCTCTTCAAGAAAAAGAATTTAAAAATCTTACCTTTGCAAATTTGACAAAAGAATAGGACCACATGAGCCCAGTGCCAGAGCTTTGTAAGGAGTCCGTGCAGTGAGGAGCCTCAGCCAGGGCTCATTAGCTGCAAGAAAACCCACCTCCATGATTTTTATAATTGTTTCATTTAAAATAATTGGAAAACAGGAGAGTTTCTTAATTGTACAATTATCCCATTCATGAGGGAAACCCAGACTTGTGGTTCACCAAGCCTACTGGGTGTGTTCCAACCTTGTAGTGAATCCGAGTCTAAAGATAATGGATACACTTCAGTTAATTCACTAGCATGATCAAGTCCCCTCCTGTTTCTCTCCGCTTCCTAACAGAGTGCTTGGCATTCAACAGGAGTCGATCGGTGTTGACTGAATGTCTTGATTCATACATTCCTTCAACAAACACTGCACTGATTGTTGCCCATTTGACTCTTATTAACTCCTTTCATGTCACCTTAAGAAATTACCATTCTTTTGAACTAATTAAAATGAAGAAAAATTAGACATTAATAGGCAAAGACAGAAAGAACAAGAACAAAGTAAAAACAGAATTCCAACTTGGACAATAGAAAAGTATCTTCCTAAATAATTCTTAAATCAAAGATTAGTAAACCAAAATCTCCTTTACATACCATTGAGGTATTTGAGGCAATAAAAAAGGCCACACATATAAAATGAATATGGCACAGAAATATCAGGGTCCACAAGATCTAATCCTAGGAAATTCATTGATTTTAATATATTTCTTATTAAATGGAACAGAAAATGAAAAAGATATTTCTAAAAGCCATAGAAAATACAAGAAGAATATTAAAATGCATTCATAAATTTAAACAAGTTAAAACAATTTAATTGATTTTTTTCCAAGCGCTCTTTCTTTGGTAGAATCAATAAAATAGACAAATCTCTGGCAAATCTAATCTGAAGAACCTTACTTTAAATAATTTTTAAATCTCTGGCTTAGGCGCAATATGACATATTTTAAAACAAACAATCGTCTCCTATGTCAGAGTCAACTACCCAGTTCGATTTCCTTTATTTCTCATAAAGAAGAAATTAATACAGGACACCGTGATGGGAGCTAACCATAGGTTTTGAAGAGCCAAGTTCTCATCTTTCTTGAATTAGAATCAAAATAGCTAAAACATGCTGATCTGAGAATAGCTTTACTAAGAAGGAAATGAAACTTCCAAAAGAAATCCTTACACCAACAATTCTTCCATGGATTTCTCTCAGGGCCTATTGCTGGTCATTCTCTGGAAGCATGGCATTCATGCGGCACTGGGGCCTCTTTTATTGTCCATGACTGTGAACTCCTGTCAAGTAGACCTAGGCACACCCCCTATGGGATTTCTTTAGGCTACGGCCAGGACTCAGAGATTTACATGAAAGTGCTTTGAAAAGCACAAACTGTTACACAAAACCGGGTGATATTATTATCATCAGTGTCATCTCAATGAGGATTAAAAGCTAATGTGAGAATCTTAATGTTGATGGCGTTCTACCTACATGAGAAAAACATGCTATACATGTCTCTACTGAAAAAAAAATGGGGAGAATATTGATGGAGTTCAGAGTACCTGCAAAATTATTAATTATTCGTGTGCTAGAAGAGAAAGTGAACAAGGAATTAATGGGTTGTTTATATTTCCAAGTATAATGGAGATACTAAGCCTTAGACAGATGCGGGGGTAGAATTTGCTTTCATCAAAAGCCTTATCTCTCAGCCCTCTCCCCTCACTCTCTGTAAAAACTTCCCTTCCTGGCCTGACTGGTGTGGCTCAGTGGATTGAGCACCAGCCTGAGAACCAAAGAGTTGCTAGTTCGATTTCCAGTCAGGGCACATGCCTGGGCTGCAGGTCAGGTACCCAGTTCAGGGCACCCAAGAGGCAACTGCACATTGATGTTTCTCTTCCTCTCTTTCTCCCTCCCTTCCTCTCTATCTAAAAATAAATAAATAAAGTCTTTTTTCACTAATGTTAAAAAACACACACACACAACATCCCCTCCTGGCCCCCAGAGCAGCTGCTGTGGAGCCCCACCAGGCCTGTCTGCTCAGGACTCTCAGGCCGACAGTTGCATTCCTCCAAGACAATGATCTCAGCTGGCTTTCACCAACAACTCAACAACAGCCAGCCATGGTTCTACAGCAAACTGAGCTCTGAGAGAGGCAGAGAGAGAGTGTACTGGGTGGACAACAACACTGAGATCCAACACAGATCTTTATATGTTGAGCTGAAAATAATAGGGTAAAATTTAATGGAGCATATATAAAATGGCCTTGGGTTCAAATAGCCAGTTTCACTTAGAGGCAGATTTAGGGAAACCTGACTTAATCAACGTGGGGGGTGGGGGGAACAAGGAGAATCATAGCTATCTTGATATCTGATAAGTTCGCTTCTAACAAAAATAAAAGCTGATGTAGTGTTTGGGTGGTTCAGTAGCCATCCAGTGTACAGATCAAGAGAGCTAATTCCATGTCCTACTGTTCCAGGTTCAACCCCATATAATAAGTCCCATATTTTAAGAATGGTATTGACAAAGGCACGACCATAGGAGAAGAGGTGATCTAGAAACCCCTGACAGAGGTTTTAAACTGGCAGCCTACAAACCCTGACTGGTCTGCACATGTGTTCTTTTTGATCCACACTGTGTTTTTTTAAGAAACTTTAAATTTATTGCTAACATTTAAAATTTGATTTTATCTAAAAAAACCTGTTTTGAAAAATCAGATCTGGCAACACTTGACCTGTATTTATTACAAGATAATTATTAGAGATTAAGTAACTTTAAAAGAAGCATGTACTCTTTTCTGTTCACTATAACCCTCACCACTCCTTATTGTCACCTAATACTAAGCCATGCATATGGTTGTCATTTGGTGTTGTGCTTCTGTCACTGGATTTACAGTGCCTGTTCTAAAACATGTAGGAAGTCACCTGCTGTGTGGAGAGCCTTTATAGCGCCTTTTTAACATTACCTGCATTTAAATAATTCTGCTTCCCTGCCCATACAGACTCTTTTTGAAAGTTCCTAATTAAATATTTCAGTACATTAGTCTCTATATAATTAGGAGAATTGACGCATTGTTGGACTGGCCCTGCCTAATTTAGCTCCTCTCTAGGAAATGCACCCTTTTGCTTAAGCCAGTTTTCCCCGGGCCCCACTTACTTGGCCATAAACTTGAACAGTGCACAGTGTGCTATGTGAGCAAGTAGTCCAGGAAGGAACTAATTGGAATTAAGTGTGCAACCTGCCAACTGCTCCACATTTGAAGCTTTTGTACTCCAGAAGTGGAAGGAGGTTATAATTAGCTCCTCACATTGTCATTTCAGAAGCAGTTGTATTATTCCTGCTGTGTCCTTCCCCGCTGTTTGTAATGAAACGGGGTGAGATAGCAGAAAAGGAAGGGAGTCTTAGGCTTCATGTTTACCATTTGGAAATTAGATGCTTAAAAACAGACACATTTAAGCAACATCAAATAGTGGTTTCATTTATTTCCCTCTTCATTGTTTTTCAAAGCACTCATGCCTGGCCCTTCAGCTCCTCTCTAGATGGATTGTCTAACTCTCTGCTCTGTCTTCCTTTTCATCTACAGAGGTTTCTGTTTGAAGGAGGGATTCTCATACACTGTTGGTGAGAATGTAAAATGACAAAATCACTTTGGAAAAGAGTTTAGACAGTTTTT